TTTCTCATTCATAATTCAATATTTCCGATATTCGTCATTTTCAGATCGCGAGTCACCTCCGTGCAAATTGTTCTTTAGTTTCGTTTAGGAGTAGGGAAATAGAGAATAAATTTGAGGATTCGAACGCTGAATGAATGCGAATTTAAAATAACAAGTATGTAATAAATAACGAAGAGAGAGTGATAAATCATGAAGTGCGGCATTTGTAAAATAAATTTTCATATTGAATTCGTTTCCTTCGTGAAGAAATAAAATAAATATCGTTATAATAAAATTATAATAAAATTAGAATATAATTATAATATAATTAAAATAAAGTTAGAATATAATTAGAATATAATTAGAATATAATTGTAATAAAATTAGAATATAAAGTACAGTACTTGTTACAGACATATAGGAAACAAAGTTTTATGCAGAGCTCCTGTTTCCTCAAACAAGATCGAATAAGATTGAAATTACTGAAATGAAAATAATGATAAATATATTTTTAACGAGTGGTATATTAGTATACGTCACTGGAAGCAGACAACTGTGCGGGACAGTTGAAGAGAAACATCGATACTCTGTGTTCTATATATGAAAGGAACAAATCGACGGTATGTTTCTCTTCTTATTTCTTTGAAATTAATTTACTATTACAGAGGAGACAATCTCTCTGACGCAACTGTTGTTACATCGAAACGTCGTTTCCGGGGGAAATATTTTTATCCCGAAGTAAAATGCTTGGAACATCTGAGACACTGTATAGGGAAAAGTAAACTTGGAATGACTTCACAGCATTTAATATCTCTGTTTAATGTATAGATTAATTGAGAAATAAGTTAACGTTCTTTGTTGTACAGTAATTGAATATAATTTGTCGAATTTAAAAACTCAAATACACTATTACTCGTTTCATTATATTGCAGAATATTGAATCCTATTTTATAATTCAAGAACTTGTTGTCAGACGTTGAATAGAATAATATTTCATATTCTGTGTTTGACTGAAAGATGAATAGGATGGAACTCTATTCAGAGCAGAAATTGAAATTTGTATAATAAGTGTCCAATGATTTCCCTCTCTATTAGCGATTTTTCGTTCATGTGCGATAATAGAAGTTCAGATTCAACTAACCAGCGCCTCATTTAATCGATCATCGGCTGACATTTAATTCCAATGAATAGAATCCACGTATGTGTATTCAGCAAATTACTTTCTCGAAAATGTTTCTAACTCGATGACCATGGCCAATTTTCTACTGTGAGCTTACACATTTAACAAGAAAATTGGCAGAGTATGGAATAGTAATACTATTAAGAGCGTAATACAAAAATTGCGAAATGCAGATCGTATTTAAAACTACCGGATCCATAGAATGTTTAATTAATTTCAATTAATGTTTAATTGAAGTTTAATTAATGTATAATTCAGTTAAGTCACACTAATACGAGTATCGGTAGAAACCAAACTCGCGTAGATCGTGTTTGAAAAGTATTCTCTTTTCAATTCCTTGCGCTGGCAACTGGTTTGCGGACCATAACGAGCGACCGAGCCGTATACGATAATTCGTCGCTTTCTTTCCCTTTTGAACTCGTCGGTACGATACCACTGGATAGAAATTATTAAGCAATAAACTTATCATTTTCGTTTTACCTGGGTTACATTTAAAAACTGAGAGAATGTTGCAATTTGGGACAGAAAGTTCTCTCACGCGCGTGGCATGTCGGTTAAAACTGGCTGTTCGCCAATTTTTGCCTCAACGACGAGCAACTTTTCGAGTATTTTTATCAGCGTTAAACGAACACGCGCGCGTGGTTTGACTCGGGATGATCAGGATGGGTGGCGTGGGTGTCCCTGGGTTGCAGTGGAGCGTGTGTATCGGAGGATGAGCGGCGGAACGATGGAAGGTATCGCAATGCCTGGAATGTTTAATACCGGGCGCAACGACACCGGCACCGAGGAGAAATGGCCGACTTCAGCCACGGAATAAATCTCGTGGAATCATACCTGCCTGACGCCATTTCTTGTCTGGCGAGAACGCCCGCTCTGAAAATTTTTCAGGGTGCCAGTCGAGCGAAAACGCTTATTGCGCTCCGATGCAAGGATATCCCACCCACCCACTTTGTTCTCTCTCACCCTCATCCTCACCTCACTGGCGTTTTAAGAGTCTGTGATTCCTTCTTCCTGCTGTTTCACTCCTGCGAGATTGCACGAAATTTCTCCGCTTCAGCCGGATTCTGTTCTCGCGAAATTAAATAATTCGCGTAATTGTGGAAGTGGAAGTGGAATGGATCACAGTTTATGGAACATCAGTCGTATTTTTCGTAGTCACGATGGCTGAATGAACTTTGTCGTACATTTCTCTGGAAAATTAACGTATTGGTGTTTAATTAAGGATTAGTTGAAAATTTCAATGTTGCTGTAAGATGAATAAGTTGAATAATTATAGAGAAAATGCAAATACTGGAGCACTCCTTTCCCTTCGGATTTTCGTACAAATAAATGAAAATATTGATTTCTAATTACTATTAATATACGATTAAATTATTCATTTGCTCGAAGGAGTTTTAACCGTTTCCACAATTTTATACCGTATCATGTTTTTCGTTTTATATTTTATATTATATTTTGTTGTTCAAATGACGATTTAAATGACGATTGAAACTATATATATATATATATACTTTAACTAAATATATACTTTGCCTACTTAAATATTTTCAACTACTTAACTAATTTATTCACAAATATACCTGCTCAAATTTTGAAACGCCCTTTATCTTACGAAACCGTATACTTGTCTGACAAAATATTGCTCTTCAATTACGACTGATTGAAATTCCAAATTTCTGATTAAGATTCCACATCATATCGTATCATATATATATATAATAAATGATTTACTTACAATTAGTCGAATCACGACCGCTCAGGATTTTTCGCTCGGCCAAATGAGGGTGTGTCGCAGCCGGATGGACAGCGAAACACGCGGGATTTGAGCCACGTGTTGGCATGGAATATAACCAACGCAACGAGGCCGTCGTCCTGGTACGCCTGATGTTTGCCAGGAACGTTTAATTGCGGCCGCCGCAAGTGGACTTCACGACGTGGAACGTTCGTTAGAATTTCATTAGAGTAAGTTCGGGACGTGGCGGAGTGATTCGCTTTGAAAGGACCGTCTCTTGCACGTAGACACGTAGACATCTCCTCCTCGTGTTTGCCACCTGTTCGCCGTCATTTTCCACCGTGAATCTCTCTGCGTGGTTCGCGCGCGCCAAAACTGACCAAAACTGTGTGTGTGTGTGCATTCACCAACAGAAAGAAGACAGAACAGGACTGTGCAACCGTGTCATACTTCTTAACGTTGTAATTATTTTTCTAACGTAGAGTGGCTCTTGCTGTTGCCCCATTAGACACGTTATTCAGTAGAGAGTTTTGAGGCAAAACGATTGCAATTAATGTGATTGAAATTGTAATCAAGGATTACAATGAGACGATCTCTCTTTATGATTATGATCGTGTCATTAGTTAACTGCGCATATTTTGTAGAAACTACACTGTTTTCCAACGTGCTCGAATCTAGCCAACTTAATTTCATCAGAATTTGTCGCGAATATTCAGAAGATAGTCCCATCGATTGTAATTAAAAATCTTGTCCTTGATCTTATTGCTATTGGCACGGAACTTTCGTATAATTTGATTCTTCATTCTTCATATTACAATGTTCCATTGATTCTTACAGCAGAGATATTTGAAACCAGAGAATTATAATTAATTTTAGTAAATTAATATTCGACAACACGGATTATTTTCTTCTTTATTAATATTTAGTTTACATTGAATCCTAGATAATCACGCCCAGTTTGAAAAAATAGTTCACTGCAAATCGTAAAAGGAAAATCAAATTGATTTTACAAATTACTAACTGCCGGCTACAAGGTTCCAAAAAACTGATCAAGGTTACTGATTTATTTTCAACAGTGATCAACAATTACTACGATTTCATTTAATAGTTGATTACAGAAATAACAGCAGACTAATTGATAGCATTTTATTGTTAATTCAAAGCCTCGCAGACATTTTGCTATCTACATTATTTTTTTTTTTTTATTTTGACAAGTGGCGCTGGTACATCGCTCGCGAAATGTTTTCAAATTCGGAGATATCTAAAAACATCAAAGCCTTCAGACTGTGTAAAATATTGCACATTGTGTTTGCAACACATGAGAAAATAAAGTTGGAAATTCCGATTGGATTCAGCGGGCAGGAAGGAATTTCAATGTTTTTGAATATGTATGTATTTATGTACTATTGATCGAAAACTTTCCGATAGCCAGTGGAAGTTCACTCGTATTTTTACGCAAGATATTTTTCTAGCTTAATGCTAATCGGCATATTTAACAAACCATCTAAAATGCGAGTGTTACTCTGGATACGTGTCATAACAGATTTATAATAGATTTGCGAAAGGATGAAATATGTATTACCACATATTCTATCTTTTGTAGAGAAACAATTTTAAAATTCAATTCATTCTTTTTTATTTGTCACATTTTTCACTTAGACAGATAATGTAGATTGGAAATATTAGAAATATTGCATCACTTAGATAAATAATTTAATAATTAGAAATATTATAGGAAGGAACTTTGGTAATTAAATTGGAATTTGTGACGTGGTTAATTAAAAATTATATACATCAGAAGTTACATTATATTTTGAAATTACACTGAGAGCAGTAGAACTTTGCTCGACCATTCAGCATAACTGAGATGCTTCTTCTAAACTTTCACGTGAGAAATAAACAAAAAAATGAACAGACACTTTGGATGAAAACGATTCGTACTTAATTACACATAAAAAAAAAAGTATTTATTCCACAAAATGTTACAAATGTACAATGTTAATACACGATACGACATCTCAAAACTATGTTAAAAATATCCCCCAACAAAATCGATAGAAGCAAAACAAATCAACGAAATAAATAAACAAGTAATATCGATAGAAACAATTACATCCGTTGTTCGTTCAAAGGATAAACTTGTGGCTTGTAATCTATGTAATTCGTCGCGTTGCAAGATACCCTGGTTACTTGATCAATGACGCTGGTGGTATACTTGGCTCGTCGTGGTGGTCCCCCGCTGACAAATACGCCGATCGGCTTCTTTTCCATTTTCTTTCTCGTTCGTTCGTCGTACGGGTCGCCGGAATACAATGGAAATTTGTCGAAGCAGCCCGAGTGATTTCCACCGGGTTTCTTTGGGAATGGCACGTAAAACGCGGCGGGGCCTATCATTCTAGGCGCGCGATCGATCGGCCGTTTGTAAGTAGGTGCGAGATCCTTGTCCACGTAGGGATTTGGCGGGAAATAATCGAGCGACGTGCTCGCGTTGAGAAATCGAGCTGCTGGCGCTGTTTTCGCACAGAATTAAAGTAATTAATTAGTCAATTCAAGAGATGAAATGAAGTGAAATAATTGTGTAAATAAAATAGGGCAAATGTATATATTATATGTCCATAAATTGTATGTAGCATATATATATATATATATATATATATATATATATATATATATCAATATTAGGAGTAGTCACAAGTAATATCGTTTTTTTTGATAGTGTGCAAAATTTTATTTTATTTAAGAGTTAATATAGTTCCAATCTACGATATAATTTAACAATAAGCACAGTAAATGTCAATATATTTGGCTAAAATATATGTAGGTTACGTTAAATTGTTGTCGCTAGGTGGCAATGTTTGTTAAATTTGAAAAAAAGTGACATTAATAGAAAATACACATGATGATGAAATAAAATAAAATAAAATGATAATGAATAATAATATAAATAGAATAAAATAATAATATAAATATATATAATATATGTATAAAATAATATTATAAATATATATATAATATGTATAAAATATATATTATATACAACATAAATTTTGTATAATACATATTGTCAACTATAAAAATACATATAGATAATATTATCATTTGTGGGATCATTTGCATATAAAATGCACATATAATAAAATAGTATATACTAGTATATACTAAATAAAAATATATAAATAAATATATATAATAGTATATACTAGTATATACTAAACAAAAATATATAAAGTACTAATACTCGACTATTGATATTTTCAGAAAAATCTGAATTTCCACATGACCTCGTCTAGTCTATACAATTGATATAGAAAAAATAAAATGATCAACATACGGTGTGATTTAAATATAATTACAAAACTTAGTTCGTGAATTCAAATAAAGATCCGGCGTAACATGCCAGTTGGAAAATGCTCGAATTGGTAGATTCATTGCTCGCACAGAAATCCTCGCTGTACTCTCCTCAGAGCGTTGATGAAATTTCGCATAAAACGTACGAATGCCCCCTTTGGCGAGCGTTCAAAGTATCCAGTACCCAGGTGTATTCTAAATTTTTGCATTTGCTTGTGCTTCGCCCCGGCTTCTTGCGTCTCGTGTTTTTTTCTTCTTCTTCTTCTTCTTTTCTTTGTTCATTATCCGTCTCTGGCGGAGCGGTAGACACGACACACAATATTGCCGGTGCAAGAAAGTAATATAAAGAGGCGGCGATAAACGCGGAAGAAGATTGGGGAGAGTCACGCTTCCGTTTTTCCTTCTCTCTCTCTCTCTCTCTCGAATTTTGTTTCCCCAGGCCGACGCGACTAATTACATTTTTGTCGTAAGGATGGCAAGAAAATGAAACGATCCTCTGCTTAGACATTCTCTCTCTCTCTCTCTCTCTTTCTCGCTCTGTCTCTCTTTTTCTCTTTGGCACGAGCTTTCAAACTTCAGTCTGCAGGCTAATTTAAAAGGGAGGAACGGAGGCGTACTTAAAAAAGAAACAGAAAAAAAAAAAAGGAAATGAAAGGAAAGGAAAAAAAAAAGAAGATGCGGAATTAACTAAACCTGGGTGGTTTTACATTGGCTTAACTATTATTAGCCGGGCAGGATTAATTATGTACGGCCACTTTGTAACGTGTCGCCGTGAATAAAGATGCCCTCGGCTTCTTGCGAGCCGCTCCTTTTTAGAGCTCCGGCTACTTGGCGAATCTTGTAACGCTGAGGAGGAAGCCACGCCGGGGAAATAGTTTTGTTTGAAAGTAGCTTGAAGTGAGCGTAAAAAAAAAAAAAGAAAACGCGGGTGTAGGAGAGACGTAAAGGGATAGGATGAAGAGAAAGAATCTTGTTTCCATTTTGTTTCGAGTAGGTTAATTTTCGAAGGAGAATTTCTGGTGGAGGTCTGCAGCTGACTTTCTACACTTTGAAATCATCGATATAAATTGTCAATTATGTGGTTCTATTCACTATACAATTAAACTAATTTACAAATTTAATTTAACAGTCGGATCTTTTGGTGATACTGTGTGTTGTGTCGATAATTTGCAAAATTAAACGAAGAAATTGAAACGGAGGTTTGTGTAATGTTGTAATTCTAACAGGTTCAACTTTATAAGAAAAATACATTCTATTCTCGAGAGAGTTTCGTTATTGCTGTTCTATTTTTCTCGAAGCAGATAGCATTCGAGCATGAGTTACATTAAAAAGGAATTAATTTTCACGACGGACATAAAAAAAAAAAGGGTGGCGAGAAAGAAAGAAAGGCAAAAAAAAAATAATTTTCTTTGTGATGTTCGCGGAAAATTATCCAGAACATTTTATACTTCCTGGAATTCTTGAACGTCTCGTTGAAAAAAACTGTTTTAAAACGCATGAAGTTGAAAGCTATTCCACGAACGGAATTATCGCCAATTCGCCGTATAGAATTCCATAGAAAATATCAACAGAGTGAGAAAAATATTCCACTGATGCCGCAATTACGTCCATTCAATCTTCTTCCATTCAGTTCGCCCGTAAAAAAAAAAATACACGAACGAGCACACTCGTGCTAATGCAACAAATGTTTAACGTAGAAATAAATAATCGTATCTACAGAAACATGTGATCGACAATTATCACGTGTAGAGTTGTTAATTTTTCAAAATTGCTCCGTGAAATTCAAAATCTGTTGATTGTTGCGTTGCAATTGGAATTAATTGGAATTCAGGCAGCCAAGCTTCCAATTTTATTACAAATGAACAAAGTGCGTTGAAGATCCACGTTACCTGCGTGTTTCCTCGGTGGATCGTAAGGATCGTGGTTGTGCGAGGGGAAGGGGCTCAGACAGATGTCGGCGTATCCTGGACCACCGCGTGGATTCGGTTTGATCTTCACGTTCGGAAGTTCAGGCGTCCGTGTCCCTCGCCTGCGTTCCTTCAACGCAGCAGGTTCGAAATAAGTGACCTTCTCGAAGCATCCGTAGTAGTCGCCAGGCGTCGAATGCTTCTTCGCGGGAGACGGCGGCAGCAGAACTCCGCCGATCTTCGCCTTTTCGCGTTCCAGCTGCGAAACGGTGCACGTATCAGCTTCGCCTCTTTAGCTATCGCCGCTCAGAGCTGCAAAAGTAGGTTCGTTCCATTTCTTTCCCTTTTTTTTTTTTGGTTTCTTTTCATATTTGAGACTAGGTTTTTAGTAGGTTGGATTCTTCGAATTGGAAGACAAAAAGAATTGTCTCGTTTAATTTTCGTTATTTTGAAATAACTCCGAGTCCCGATTCGAGTTGGAGCTGCAAATAATCGGCTCGTTTGATCCTCTCTGCATTCACAGACAATTTTAACATCTTGCGCTAGTAACTGGCACACGGACCATAACGAGTGACCAAACCGAAATAATTCGTCTTCTATTTGAATTCATCGGCACATCGCTGGATCGAAATTACTAAGAAGCAACAAACTTATTATTCGTTTTTGCCTAAGTTACGTTTCAATATACTTAAAAGCTAAGAGAATATTGAAATTTTTGGGCCAAATATTCTCGACGTGCGTCATTCCAGGTCAAGAGGAACTTAAAACAATTCTGCTATTTTACCAGACCATACGTACGTTAAAAATTGGCAAGCCCAAAGTTCAGAACGTTTCGCAATTGCAAAAGCGAAATTGTCAGTTAGCGAACAAACGGCACATTGATAAACAATGCCTAAATAAATAAATTCGGGGCAATTATATTACCCGTTCTTTCGCTTCGAAGCGCCACGGCTCGTGCAGTGCCTCCCCGTAGAAAATTCGTGCGAATTTCTCCTCGAACAGATCGCCCGATGGCCCCGCGAGCATTTGACGTTCCCTTTCGACAGCGTCGCGAGACTTCACCGGAGTTCCTCGATACCTGTCAAAGGGCGCCGGTGACGGGTCGTGGAAATACCCTTCGGGAACGTAAAACACAAGTGAGCGCCAGAGAGTAGAGAAACTTCTGACCGCCATTGACGAGGCACGCTCTACCAATTCTGTCGAGATCCGTTTTTCCAAATTGTTTGCCCATACGTTCCATCGTTGCGTTCAACTTGCCACTTGAACCTTTTTTTTTATCTGAAATTTCACGGGGCCTTGGCACACGCGAATCCTGGTTACCTCGGTTATTGGTTATCTCGATTAATCGAGATCGATCGTCGACTGTCCAGGAGGAACCAGTTCGTCGATAATTCGTCTTTCGACAGTTCTCTTTGGAGACGAATTTCGTTTTGGACTACGACGTCCAGTGACTTTGATTGTTCTACCGCAATTTTGTTTCATTCCTGAATGCTCCAACGCTGGAAGCGCCGATTTTTCACCGACATTCTTCTCTCTTTCAGTTTCTCCCGCAAGCAAGTGAACTTTTCGCCATTCAAAATCGGAAAATTTCGCCAGCGAGCAATTCCCTTGGAAATTTCAAATTTCGCTTACCCCATAAACGTTTCAACGTCCGTTTAATCATAGTTTTCCGCTTGGAAATCTATGACCTATTTCGGAAATATTTTAAAAACCTCTCCAAAGAAAGGAAGTTCTGAAATTATGTCGGCTTTGCTCGATTTTTGCGAAAAGTGATTCGATGTAATGGATTCAGCACTTTTTTCTCTCATAGTGAATATTTCATTCGTCGTCAAATGTTAGATTTATGGAGCCACTGGACTCTGGAAAGTTTCAAAATTTAAATCGTTGTCCTTTTTTTTTGTCATCGATCAAGACCTACAAAAGAGGACAAGATTCTATTCCACAAAGTGTACGTGCATAAATAAATTAAACGAATGAGTTGAACAAATATCTAAAATTTAAGGTCACTAACCGAAACCACTAATAGGCTTTTTACAAATTCAATTGATTGAAATAAATTACCATTAATCGTGCATAATATTCCTGTAATGTGTATCTCTTTCAACGAAGAATGATTTACAAATTCAATTCAATTATGTTCCTCATCATGGGCAGTTGATATTAGCAGAGATGAAAATTATATTGACAGAGCTTTCATTTTATTTGAGGTGCTATATATTTTATGTAATATTTGAAATGCTATATATTTTATGTATTTTCTGTGCTTCCAGATATTATTTACTGATAGTAAGAAACATTATGCATAAAAAAAAATATTGCACGTTGCACCTAAGTTTAATTCAATCACGGTTCTTTTTAAAACGTTTCAGAAAACATTCTATATTAATTCTATATTAATATTCTATATTTATTTCGAGTTATATTTACCCTATCGAGTTATGTTTATTCTACTAAACTCGAGTCATATTTAATTAACCCCTTTAAAGGTTTAATTCGTATTTGTCAAACAGACATTTCGGGATGTTTAAAATATAATTAATTTGTTTAGAAACTGACACGCTGCATAAACATGAGTGCATAGACACCTAATCTCTTATATGCTCCTTATTGAAATTAATTTTACACCCTTAAAGCATTAGTGAAACTTAGAAGAAATTTTATTAGTATATCAATAATAAATAAATTACATTTTAAATAACAGTAAAATTAATAAATATTATAAATAATAATATATTAATATATTAAATAATATATTATTTAATATAATATATTAAATATTAACATATTAAATAATAATATATTATTAATAATAATATTATATAATATTTAATTACATATTATTGTTAAAAAAAAGTGTATAACACACATTAGTTCATATTAGTTCATTAACAAGAAATATCATGTTTCACTTTAAGATGAAATTTTTTTCACTGAAACAAGTACTACAATACCTTCTTCGATCCGACAGCGCAATCGCGCAGCGGAGGTCGAATCGACGTTGCTCTTTATCCGATTGTCACGTGGCTTTGCAAGTGGACAAGTCGTAAAACTTTTGATTACAGCGGACATATTTTCTCCTCTTTTTTTCTCTACTCTTTTTTTTCTTTTTTTTTTTTTTTTTGTTTGTTTCACGGATCAGAGCCGTACCAACCGGTAAGGAAGGTAACTGCTCGTGCTCCTAATGAAATTATTGTCCGGCTGGTTTATGAGCGCACGCACATTATTTCGAACGAAACAACGACCGCACTTGAGCACCGTTGCTCCGAAACGGAAATAAACGTACAGGCGACCGAAGTGGATCGTAAACATTCTATTCGCGTATGCGTCGATCTGTTTTTCGCGGAATTTGAAAAAAAAAAAAAAACAGCGTGCAAACGTGTTCTCGCTTGCCTTCCAACCATTTTCTCTATTTTTCTCGATTATTTTTGCCGTCGCAGTTTGTTTCCTTACATCATTTTTGCGACACGAACGTTTCATTCGTACATTCCTCGAACAGAGAACAACGTCGATCGTTTTAAATAAACGTTCCACGTCGAGTTTCGCTTGTAATTTTAATAACATAATGAACATTATTGTTGCGAGGGATAATCTGCTCTGCAGATAATTCCCAAATAATATTCGTTGCACGTTTCAACGAGAGCGATTCGTTTCCAATTATTCTTGAAATTATTTTAAATTTGATGCTCGTGCATCGATATTATTTACGATTTATCGTCACTGCGTGAAGGAATTTCTGATCGAATTGTCGAATTCAACGGAAACGAGCAAGCGCAAGTTTGTTTGTAATATTCCTGTTATTCTGAAAATTATTGAAACGACAATATTTTTGTATACTGTATAATTTAACGAGTACTGTTCTCGATGAAGTTGAATGAATTTTATAAAACTGTTTGCGCAGTGTATTAGTATTGTTGGAATACTTGTGACTGCTCGAACTTTTTAAACAAACAGAACAGCGCCAACAAATGACGCTTATTATAACATCATTGTAAATATATATTCGTCATATACAATACGGACGGGACGAGAGAGGATTTATTTGAAATATTTCTATCATTCGAGGCGGTAAGTGTATAAATTACACAGAGCACATCAAGCCACGCGCTATTTGCGCTAGAATAATTTATGAAGCTAGCGAAATGTAAATTATTCCAACCACTCAGGAAACACAATGGCGCATGTGTCTCTCTTGTAATGAAATTCTCAGCGCGAAGTGGACGATAATTTTAACGCAAACGATTGCTAACGCGCGCAACGACGGGACGGGGATCAAATATAGAAGTAGAACGCTCTCGTTGCCTCTCGTTGTATCAAAATCCTCCTTCTCGATAATTTCGCCGGCCAATTAACATCGAGTGACGCGATATTGTGAAATATCGACAAAGATATCGTTTCAGACAAAACTGAAAAGTCATACGATCGAAATTCCTCCCTGTGTTTCTCAATATTCTACATTTGAAAATTTAGACTAGGGAGATTCGACTCGGAGAATTGAATAAAAATCAGATCAAGCTACTTTTCACTTTCTCAGCTTCGTGAACTTTTTCTGAAAATTCGGGAAATTAAACTGGAATTAAAGCTATCGTGCCGACAGCATCGCAATTTTCCACGCAGTGAACTGTCTTTCTCAATTCTCTGGATTTTGAAAATTCACGAAGTTTGACTCACTAGAGAAATTAAGTCAGACCAAGCTTTTCACTGTCTCAGCTATGTGAATTTGAAAATTTAAGAAATTAAACTGCTTAAGTTGAATCGACAGCGTCGCAATTCCGATTTTTCACACAGATTTCTAAATCTAAAAGTCGACTGAATTCGAAGCTTCACTCAGAAAATTGTACAACGAAAAAGTTCACCAAATTTGGCAAAATTATTTTTCGAGGAATGAGTCGCAAATAACGCGAACAAACGAGAACGGAAGGAAAATCCGAGCCGAGCGTCTTTTCTGAATTAAATTTCCGCGTCGCGGGCGTGTGTAATACTTTTATTCATTGGATGAAGAGAGGGTGAAGGTTTCAGTTGACGATGCCGTCGTTGTTTGAGATTCATTTAATTAATTGCTCCGCTAATGAAATTTTTTTATTGCGGCCGCGAGATAGCCACGTATTATGATTAAAGTCGCTTCCGGCCGTTTACAGGGTTGAACAAAAATGTTTTTGTTCCCGGGTTAAGCTCACGGTTGCTCGGCGGAACTTTAAGCTTTCTTAGGAAACTGTTGTTCCCTAGGAGAGGGGGAAACGGTTGCACGAGAACCACCGAAGTTGCTTAAGTAACTAGAGAAAATTCCACGTTCTAATGCAGCTGGAATTTGGCACAGGGTTAATTCCGAGTATCAGGCCGAGTCGTCGCCGGCGGCTAACTATTCTCGAAATTCTTTTTTCAAACGAAAGTCCGCGACTAATCAAGTAATTAGCATCTCTTGGGCAGATTTGAAATTTGGAGAAATTTTGCCGCTATTCTCAGAGAATATTACAAGGTCGTTGCAAGCGATTGAGAAATTATTATTATACGAAACTTTAAAACAAAGACTGAGAGAATTGAGAAAGCCATTAACCTTTAATTAAAAAAAAAAGTTACGAATTATTCCTAAGGCTACTAAGATAAATCCGTAGTTTCGTTATTATTATCACGACGGTCAACATTTGAAAGAGATAATTTTCGAAACGTAAATGGAAAAGTTGTGTTTGAACTTAAGTTTAAAATTGGTATTTTTCTTATATCTCGATGCTTTATTAAAAAAAGGATAAGATACTTTTCAGCCACCGTTTGTACGTTTTATAGACGACAGAAACATCACTTCCAGTAACCAGTAACCAATATAAATTTTAATAATATTAACATTATTCAGACTTCGTGTCGATTACTCGAAAGGCACAGATCTGTTCAAACAAGTCACAAGTGCGACTATGTTCAGATAACTGGCTACGAAAATAAATTATTCTCTCCCATGCTGTTTCTCTTTGGCCAGGCGTTTGATCACTGTGAAGATTCCCTTTTGGATAACAGCAAACAGAGATAAAATCGAGGAATAAAATATTCCTTAACCGGAGGTGGTGGGGAAGGGTTCACCTGTCAAGGTTCATCGTTTCCGCGACTTCCGTCTTAAAGGAAACGACAGAGTGGCCGGGGCGACCTGTTCCATTTGCAAATTAAACGACCACCGTCCGTTGATTTCAATCCGTGAAACCCAATCTTAGCTTGCCCATTGTATCCGGAACTTAAGCCCGGTAACTAGGCGTTTAA